AGGCCAAACTCAGTGGAGTGCTTGCCAGGTGAATCCTTATACCATGAAAGACATGGATGCTGGTACCATCCCCAACTACTTCCAGTGAGTATGATCGTCTCAATAGGTCTGAAGGGAGTGCATTCTTGTCTATCTAATGCAGAGGTGCATATCTGCTTTCTTCTGCCTTACACGTTTCTGTCCCTGTTTCTTTGATATAGGGCACAGCAGCAGCTCATTGCCCTCATTCAAGAATTGGCTCAAAAGAACATGGTTTCCCAGAAGGTAATGAGGCAACCTTTCACTCTGCTTTAGAAAGTTAAATTTGCAAGTTGATTTAGACTGCACACTAAATCACAAAAATGCATTTCCACCAAGCTGGACCAAAATGAGGCTAAGGAAGAGGATTTCCATTCAGCACTACATCACTGATCTCCTTCCACACAAACAGCCTAGGAAATAAATGGGAATAGCAATTTTAGAATTAGCAAAAAATCCAAAAGAATTACTTGAATCATGGCACTCCCACCAACATCAACAGATGTAGACTTAACCCTATAAAAGAAATGCAATTAAAAGACTTCACTCACACACAAATTAATTGGCATCCATAGAACTCAGTATTGTATAGTACTGTACACTGTCTGTACAGTAACTGACATTGTAGAAAGTTGTATACTCCACAACCTCACATCCCCCACATCTCCTGCACTGATGATATCACAGTAGTAATACAAAATTGCAGTCCAGAGAACTCTAACAATAGGCCAACCCAGAGCACCAGACATTGCCAAAAAGGCATTAAGAATTGTAAATCTAATCTTATGAAGCTTCTTCTCTGGAAATTTGAAATTGCTAACTAGAGCATACAAAACTTTTGCCAGACCAATACTCGAATACAGCTCATCAGCCTGGAATCCACATTGCATATCGGACATTAATACAATCGAGCAAGTCCAGAAGTATTTAACGAGAAGAGTACTACACTCATCTGCTCGCAACAGAATACCCTATATCACCAGGCTTGAGATTTTAGGCTTGGACAATCTTGAGCTACTCCGCCTATGGTTAGACTTAAGCATAGCACACAAAATTATCTGCTACAATGTCCTACCAGTCAATGACTACTTCAGCTTCAACCGCAACAATACAAGAGCACACAACAGATACAAACTCAATGTAAACCGCTTCAAACTCAATTGCAGAAAGTACGACTTCAGCAACAGAGTGGTCAATGCTTGGAATACACTACCTGACTCTGTTGTTACATCCTCTAACCCCCACTCCTTTAACCTCAAACTAATCACTATTGACCTCACCCCATTCCTAAGAGGTCTGTAAGGGGCGTGCATAAGTGCACCATTGTGCCTATCATCCCTGTCCTATTGTCCCCATTTATTTGTACCTATTTCCTGTATTCTTACTCATGTTTATGCTTATACCTATTATCTTGTAAGCGATTGACAAATAAAATAAAATAAATAAAATAAATAAATACTACACTGTCAAAGGACTTGTTTTCCTACTAATATGTGGGAGGCATCTGGGTGACAATTACTTGAATCAAAGGCTTGGCATGAAAATCATTTGGGGACATTGTTCTAAGGCAACTTTCCCAAGGTGGCCATCTCAAGCTTAGCTCCTATAATTGCCCAGCTAACTGCTGCCATAACTCCTGGGCTAGCTCTGTACATTCTGGGTTTAATATAATGTCTTTCCTTTTGCCCTTAGAATTCCAGTTCTCAACGCAAATTGGTCCGTATTGTAAGTACAGGCAACAGGATCAATCCACTTTGGTCCACTATGGAATGTAGTTTCTCAGATTCAAACAAGCCAAAAGGTAAGTTCAACTATTGCAATATTGTTTATTGTTACTGAAAGTTATGATTACAACCTACAAATATTTATCTAGGCAAATTTATGTCTAGATGGAGCTTTACTTCCTTTTTTTTTAAAGAACACAGGATTGCTCATTAAGCATCTATTAGGGACAACTAATTAATTTGCAGATTAAAAACATCTCTGAGACTTTCTAGAAGTTTGACCATTTTCTAGAAAAAAAAATCTTTCTGTAGTAACTAGATTACTTATCATAGGCCCACTGCAGCTATTATGTTTCTGGCTTTTTATATTCCTGACAGTAATTCTAAAGAATCTTTAATTGGGGCAATTTAATAAATGTCTTCAAATATGCTTTCTTAAAACATAGCTAGGAATAAAACAAACAAACAAATAAATAGTGGATGAAACCCACAAGCATGTATTTCTCTGATTGCTTTACTCTTTCCTTTCTAGTGAGTCCCAGGAATTGTGTCAGTCTGATGCCATACACTTTTGTCAGGCATTACAGACCTGGGCAGCCACGTCCAGTACTTGTGGTGCCAGCACTTTTGAGGAAGATCCTGGCTGACAAGCTATGCCTTTCCAGGGAATTTGAAAAATGTCCATCAGGTATACAAGAGTCAGGTGGTTTGGTGGAGTTTTGCAGGGAAATATTGTTTAGGTCCTGGAAACCTCAGCATCTGAACTTGAGACAAAGCTAGTGGAAATGTGTAGCTGAACTAGAAGACAGCGCATTGGCTCACAGTAAACTTCACAAGGTCATGTCTATGGAGATTCTCAGTCCAGGTCATGCTTGTCTCAAAGGTTATTTTTCAAAAGGCATCCGGACTAACATAGTCCAGTTGCCTTTTGAAAAAAAAAAAACTTTGGGTTCACCAATTCCTGTTCAAATGATTTGTTTTGTTCTAGAACATAGACTATTTCTTGATACTGGATTTTCTCATTCTCTCATGTATCCAAACATTACTTCTAACAAAACATAAGGAAAAGAGATTTAGTTTGGATTCTGAACTATGCCCTCTCATTTTTTTCCCCCCCTTCCTGCCCCTGCAGACATTCAGAACACAGAATCCTTCCATGAAAACAAAGAATTGAATGGCAGCTCTTGTATTCCTCGATGGGATCTGGAACAGTTAATGCAAAAGGTATTAGAGGCTGTAAGGACAAATGTTGTACTCAAGTACAGATGCAATTATATCGGGTGAGGGATTAGGATGCATATTCCCTTAGGACTAGCACTGCAAATGTTGTTCAGTGGTATCCGTGCACTTATACATCTCACTCTTATCTCTAGAATGTGCATGCCTGGCTGGATCTGGGCCTGGAGAGTGTGCAAGAACTTCTGGCCATGGACATTTATCCCATCATTATTCTCATCACCATCGGTGAGAAGAATGCCAAGAAAATCAAGTAAGTACTGCTACTTTGATCCCTTGCATTTCTCTCTGGCAGAATTGCTTCCCGATTATTTTTAATCACCAAAGATGTACCTAAACTCATTTCATCTAGCACGCAATTTTGTGTTTATCGGCTGTATCTTGAACTTGGCAATTCTTTCTCCTGTGGCCGTCATTCTTCAGCCTTTCCTTCACATCCACACAAACGTACTTTGTGAGTAAGCTCCCAAATTCTGATTCCCATACCTAAATGGCTTGAATTTCAGGAAAGCTCTTCAGCGCCTTGGAGCAACGGAGGACCAACTTTTGGAGAGTACCCGGAAAGAGGAGGCCCAGCTGGAGACAGTTTCCTGCCTTTACCGCTCCATTGCTCCTGATGCCTGGGGTGACCTTGATGCTCTCAACAGTTGTGTCCGTGTGGCTGTCGCCGATGAGCAGAAGAAGGTAGTGTGGGTGGAACAAGTGCCTCATCGATCTTTTTAGACCAATAGATGGGACTTAGGGCAATTGTTTCACCCAAGCCGAGGAAAAACTGAATGTGCTACTGTTTGTTCTAGAAGGAAATAAAACACATTCCAAGCCTATCAGCTGCATACTTACCATTTAGAAAATTACCATTTATTTTCTCATGGTCTCCCCATCCTTCTCCATCCAACCTCTTTCAAACCGATTTTATCTTCCCTCGCCATCTCTTTGAATTCCTGGCAACACATCAATCATATGCTGGCTAAATGTAGAGTACAGTGTATATGCAGAGGTTTGCTATAATGAATTTTTTAAACTCGGGTGGAGTTGGTACTCAAATCAGAAATCATGGAGACTGATCTGAACCATGTGGTGAAGTTCCTTATGAGCATGAGCATTCATTGAGCATGAAAATAATGGATGCATTTCATTATTTTTTAAATAAAAGAACTTCTCACAGGACAGAAGAATACCACTGTATTGTTTTTAAAGAGATTGAACACATTAACTAGCAAACTCAGCATATTTTTAGGCAAATTAACATTCCCTGCATTGTATTAGTCCACAGGTGTCAAACTCGATCATGTCACATGACATATCGCGATATATGTTTTTTGCCTTTGTGGAGCTGGGGTGGGTGTGGTGGCCTGTGCATGACACATCCGGCCTGCGGGTTGCCAGTTTGACACCCCTATATTAGTATATTAAAATCCAAAATTGGACTAAAAGAACTTTGCCCATGGTGCTGTCACACTGAAATTCCAAAAGCTTTATGTTTGGTTTGTTCCTTGACATATAATGCAGAAATTTAGCTAGCAGGCTTAGTATTGGATCAGGGTCAAATTCTCATTTGGCACTTAGTTCACTAGCTGACTTTGTCATTTAGGCTAACAGGGCTTTGTAAGAATAACCTGAAGATGGGGAAGAAGCCAGATGTAATCTATGGGGCTGCCTACCCTTGTTTTAATGAAGGAATAAAACCATTCATAAACGAAAAAGTTAGTTAGAAACAACATTTCATTTCTTTATTGTATAAAAGCGGGCTTTAGCCATATTATGCATATTCTGGAGAACTATCTTTAAATTGGAGCAACTGCTTTGCAGATCTATACCATCCCAGCAGGCAAACCCAAAGCTGTTTCTAGTTATTATCTCAGTATTCCATAGAACAATGATGAAATGTGCAGGCTACAGAATCTAAAGATAAATATTCATTTCTACTCTTTAAACTGGTTTTAAACTTGGCCAATTTCTATCCCTGCCCTATGTGTAACAACTGATATGGGACCAGCCCATCTATATTTTTGTGATACCACAATTTGGGTGAGGACACTTATAGTAGTGATCAACTCTTCAACCAGACTTCTCCAGTTATCATTCTTGTGTGGGAGGCAAGCCCCTCCTTGTATTTTACTCCAATTCTTCCCCCTCAGGTGCAACTTCAGTAGTATTTAATTCTGCAAATTGCAAATTGTTGCATCAGCATTCGCTCGACTTGCAGATCTTTTCCTGCTCCTGACAGATGAGTAACTGCCACCAAAACAGGAAGGCAAAAGAAAATCACAGCTCATTATGGAGCGGCCAACACTTGGGCACTGGCTTATCCTCCAAGACACCATCAGGAGCACATACCCAGGGGTCACTGGTCTCCCACTGCCACTTCAACAGCAGCCCCCGCAGCTCTTCAAGAGCTCGTGCATAGCGGGGATCCCAAGCCACATTGTGGCTTTCGGTAGGATCGGTGCTGTGATCGTACAGTTCCCAGCGATCCCGATAATAGTAGCTACGCAAAGTCTTACTCCAATGAGTAGGTTGCCCCGCCTGAGTCCTGTTCAGCAGGTCCTGGAACGTGGGTGAAACATAGAAATCTTGATCAATGGGAAAGGAGGTTCGGTTCTGTAGATTGTGAATCAAATGCAGGGAGCCATGCTGCACAGCTCGCATGGGATAGTGCATGGTCACCTCATGCAAGCTCTGACTGGCAAACACAGTTCTCCATTTTGGCTCCAGTGATAATGCTGGCAGCAGAGACTTCCCGGTGAGTTGCACTACCCGCTTCCCAAACAGACTGTACGTGGGATATGGCACAGAAAACCAGTCCAGAATGGTGGGAGTGATATCTGCAGAGAGAGAAGGGAAAGCTGAAGCAGAACACTTGCTTCTGAGCCACAGTGGTGCAGTGGTTAGAATGCAGTACTGCAGGCTACTTCTGCTGACTGCCGGCTGCCTGCAATTTGGCAGATCGAATCTCACCAGGCTCAAAGCTGACTCAGCCTTCCATCCTTCTGAGGTCGGTAAAATGAGGACTCAGATTGTTGGGGGCAATAGGCTGACTCTGTAAACTGCTTAGGAGAGGGCTGCAAAGCGCTGTAAAGTGGCATATAAGTCTAAGTGCTATTGCTACCTGATGCAGAGGGAAGAGACCGGAAGGAATTTTGTTCGCAGGTGTTACCTAGTATGGAACAATATTTATAAGTCCTATTAAAAAAAACAATTGTTTCTTCCTAAGATTTTCTAGCTTACACCAGTTAGCTCCAGTTCTGTACTTTCTACATGCATCTATTCAATAGAATTTAGGCTTGATAAAGATGGTAAGGTAGGAACTAAAGGGTCAACTATCATATATATTCATGGGTAAATCTCTACTTGGGGGTAAATTCAACCCAACAGCAGAAGCTTCTCTGATACAATGGCTAAATGAGTTGCTTTAATGCAGACAAGAAAAAAAGTCATAACTAAGCAGCTTGTACCGTAGAAATTTCTCTCTTTCAACCCAGAGTTTAAATCTAAAGCCACTTTTTTCTCCCTTTTTAAGTCAGGAAACTTTTGGCTGTTCCTTGCTAATCCATGAGATTGGGAAGCGCTTGCCTAAGGTTTACACAACAGTTCCGTCTGGTCTCAGCATTATGGTTCCCTCCTTCAGCCCTTACACTACTCTGGCTTCCCATTCTTCCTCTTTGTTTCCCTTTTTTTGCTGTTTGAATGAGGGATCAAGGAAAGGGAAATATGACCTGGGCTGCCTTCTGTGCACCCACATATATATCCAATTACTTAGTAGGTGGGTTCCCACATTTGCCATGACTTATTTAACCACAGTTTGTTGAATAAATCCTATGTGGAAAGCCAGCATATAAGACATTTAAGGCATTTATTTGTTCCAATCCTTTAAAAAAGCATTAAATAAGTATAAGTTCTGTATAACAGAACTGTTTGGAAGGGTTCATAAAGCATGTATATTCCTGAAAATATACTAGGGAAAGAGCTGAGAAGGACATCCACATGGACCAGGGGTGTCAAACTCGCTGGATGCGGGTTGGATGCATCACATGCTGGCCACGCCACGCCCGGTTTAGCGAAGGGGGGAAAAGTCCTGATACGTGACGTGACGCCGTTGTGACAACACGAGTCTGACACCCCTAACATAGATGAAACTGCCAGACATATAGGCTGCAACCATAATTTCCCCCTCTCTCTCCAAAGAGGAAGATCTTCAGAAAAGGCTAATGCAAAGTGGAAAGTGTATTACAGTTTGATTTAGCACATCCCAGCCTCTTCCATGGGACAAACCCACCAATTCATCTCTCAGCTGCTCTTACCCAGGAGGCTGATGTAGGCACTGCTGACTTGGCCCCAACGTGAAGGGTGCTCAGGAGATGAGACCAGGAGGGGCTCAGCTGTGCCCGGCCAGTACAGGTTGGTTCTGCCACTGGGAAAAGGGATGCCGTTGTCTGAAGTATAGATCACAAGAGTGCTGTTGTGGAAGCCTGCATGGCGGAGCTCCTCTAGGACAAGACCAAGGCCTGCCGAAATAATATACAATAAATATCTTATATAATATATATTACACTAATTGCCTTGCCCAGAACTAGCCTTGACCCACATTAAGGCTGAAAGGAACACTCCTTTCTACCCTCCTCCTCTTTCAGACATAGCATGTACATCGCCCAAATCTCAGGAAGAGGTACAGGTTCTTTCTCCAGGCACCACACAGCAGATATTAAAAGATTATTCAGTATTAATTGACCATCTCACTCCCATTAAGTTCCACTCAGTTAACATAACTATTCATATTTTGCTAAGGATGGATGGATTACTGTTACTTTGCTTCCTTATCACTAAAACATATTGCCACAAGACCAGTTCAACATAGTGGTGAAGGTGAGGGCCTAGAAACTGGACGGCTGTGAGTCCTAGGCCTCTCTCCAGCATGAAAACTTGGCTGGGTGACTTTGCGCCGGTCATTCTCTCTCAGTCCAAGTTACCTCACAGGGTTGTTGTTGTGGGGAACATAGGAAATGGGAGCATTAAGTATGCTACCTTGAGTTGTATAAAAGATGCTAATAAAAGCTACTAGATAATAGTAACAAGGCTACTATACATAAGAGCTAGAAAGAGTTCTTAGAAATACCTTTTAAAGTCCATACAATGAAATACACAGGATTCTAAAGATTAGAGATGTGTTCTTTTTTTAATACACAGAAGATGATTATCATCTGCTCTCTTCAGAATTACAGCAATATTTATGCTTTATCCCTTTATGTGCATAAAGCAAAATCAGACTGACTTTCAAGTATACAAAAATGCACCATCATTAATTAATCATTAATTAAAGGTCTTGTTCCATTTCAGAAGTACCAAGCCTTTTGTCCCACTCCTGTAGGCAGAACTACCTGCTTCAGTAATCATGTACCTTGATCCATGCGCCCGACAGTTGTGTATTGAGCTGCCAAATCCTCATGAGCAGCTGGGGTGTCTTGTACAAAATAAGGGACCTGAAGGGCAAAAGGAGATACAGCTGAAGCTACAAGCTACCCTAGGAAAGACCTCTAGTTAACGAAGGGTGAATTATTATGACAAGTGCTGGGGGAGTTATTGCCGACACTTGCAGACATTTGCTGGAACCCAGGTGGAGAAGAAAACCCTAGACGTCACCTGCACTTGATCTGGATGGTAGAGCTCAGGTTTCCAATCTGGGATCCAGCCCATTCCAGGCTCCCCGTTGCCAAATTTCTCACAAAAGGTTCCATACTGTGGCTGGGAATGACCACAGCGATGGGGATCATGGAAAGCCACATAAAGGAAAAAAGGTCTACAGGTTGGGGAAAAAAGAGCAAAAACACAGTTAAGGGCTCTTGATAATGCCATAGCGGTGCTTCCTCTCCACTATATAAAGCAATACTTTGGATGCCTCTAGCTTTGCTAAGTTCCATTTTCCCCTTCTCCATAAACCCTGAGTTTGGCTTCTCTTTGATTTTGATCCTCTATCTCAGTATACAGAACCCTTTTTATTTCCCCAAACATTATCTTGGGATCTTTGCTGGGTCTGCCAAATATGAGTGAAAGATGGGTGTGAAGGGCCTGGTCCTGGATACTTCGAAGAGATTTAAGGAAGGGATACATCTGGGTCATTCCAGTACTGGACCTTACTTTTCATCCACACTCTGGAGGAATTTCCGAACAAGCAGTTTGATTCGGGTGATGTTTCTGCCCACTTGCAAGACAGAACTGTTTTCCTCAGTGTAGGCAAAATCAAATGGATACACAGCCTCTGGCCCAACGTGCTTCTTGCCAATGATTCCTGAAAGAGATAAGGAGCCAGAGTAACTCAAAAAAAGGGTAGTAATATTAACTGGTCAGTTAGGATAGTGCCCACATTACATGGACAAAATAGACATATCCTTGGCATTTATGGGGGCAAAGAGGATTCTATGCCACTTTCATTCATAAAGCTTAACAGAATGATGAGTATGTAAAAAAAATGATAATCTAGCTGTCAGCATTCCAGCAAAACCAAACTCCAATCAAAAACTCTGAGACAGGCATTTTTCTCAAAGTTTCTTTTTATTGGGAAAGTCATACTGGCACATCTGGGAAAACCCGAATTTGAGGGTTCCAGGTTTTCCCTCAGTAATTCAAGTCAAAACCCAACCCCTGCACCCATCAGTCCATCACATGGTCCAATCACCATCCGTCCCAACTTGACACATCCTTTCAACCAGTCCTCCTTCAGGTGCAGGAATAACACGAGCTTGACCGAAAAGAAGAATGCTATTATGTCTAACTAACACTCTGAAAGTCCCCCCTCCTAATTTCCCAGGCACAGGAATGTGGCAGTGTGGAAGCTTCTGGTGTTAATATGGCTTCCAAAGTTGACACTAGCTTCAGAGACTAAAGGGGTGCAATTTATAATGTGCTATGACATCTATTTGTATCCCACCTTTATTATTTTTACACATAACTCAAGGTGACAAATATACCTAATACTCCTTCCTCCTCCTATTTTCCCTACAATAACAACCCTGTGAGGTGGGTTGGGTGGAAACAGAATGGCCCAAGGTCATTCAGTTGATTTTCATGGCTAAGGTGAAATTTGAACTCATGGTCTCCTAGTTTCTAGTCTGGTGCCTTCACTACTAGACCAAACTGGCTCTCAGAAATATTTTTCTCTGTTGGAATTGGACTAAATGAGACAAAAGTATAACTGTGGGAGGGAATCCACAAGACAACCCTTATCAGCACTGACCAAAAAAATAGCAATAAAGCATTAAATAAGAGTAATGTAATGTTCTGTTGATTTTAACTGAGCAGTTAAATCAAGTGTCTATTCTGCTTTCAACAGCAACAACCAGCTGCCTCAGAATTAATATATGCAACATCTCTTTTTAAAATACCGTAACATTTATCATTGCTAGCATTTTCTGATTGGGCCGCAAAGGAGAGAAGACCAAAAGTCTTCTTTAAACCTGCAGACTGTCTGATCCAAGCCCCAGACAGAAAGAGTTCCAGCTGATCTGAGGAAGTAAAAGGAGGAACTCTGCTTACCTGTCCGTATCCCAGCCTGGTTAAGCAACAAGGGGAGGCTCCGGACACTATCAAAGGAGTTGAAGTGATGCACATCTTGATGCAATCCATACATCCCATTTTGGTGCTATGGTTGGACAGAAATCATTTGCAATACTGTGGGATCCACAATTTGGTGTCAATCATAATTTTCAATTAAAAGGACAGAGCCATGCCTTGGCATGCTCTCTGCTCCCATCTGGGGTGTGTTACCTGAGGCAGGCCCGTCAAGAGGCTGGCCCGGCTGGGGGAGCAGCTGCTGACAGAAGTGAAGGCATTCCGGAAGATCAAGCTTCGCTGGGCCAAAGCATCCAGGTTTGGGGTCTTTATGACTGTGTTGTTATACACACCACTCTCAAAACCACCATCGTCCGCTGCCACGGAAAGGAAGAGCACAAATCAAGGGGCGAAATCTGTATTCTATTCCTGTTCCCTGTGAACATTTTCTACAATCTTCTGGGATAGTCATCCACAAATCTATTGTATTTGTGGGTGGAAAACATCTGGAGGTCGCTGGATCATGTAAAACTGCTCTCTTAGCTGGGGCAGTGTAGTTTTGTGACACAGACTTAAAGGTGTTTCAGCCTGTGAAATTCTAAAGTATTGTGCTCCACGACACACTCAAATCATTATCCAACAAATGCTATTTTGAACACAGAGCTTTTTCATCCACCGTTAATGTTAACATTTGATATTTAAATAGTTTTTGCCCACCATGGATATGATTGATGCAATATCTTTGTGATTCCAGTGTTGATAAATAAATTTGAGGGGTAACTGGCAACCACTGATTGAAAACCTTAACCCTAATCCATTGGGGGGGGGGGGAGTATAAATCTGTAAAAATAGAACATAACTGGTGTGCAAAATTCAGCAAGCAGTGAGCAAAAAAGGAACAAGAGCCCTGTATTGCATTTCAACTCAGGAAGCCTGCAATCACAGTTGAAAAAGGAGAATTGTGGACTCTGAGCCATTTTATAGTTCTGCAAACACAGAGGTCCCACTAATTTAGCTAAATCAGCATAGCACAAGCTACACAATTATGTAGAAATACACCAGACCTCTCACAGTCCTGTTAATTCTGTCACACCTTATCAAAAGTGGCCTGAGTCTGGCTATTATATTTCAACAATATTTGGTTCTTCACTTTTTCACAAGCAATAGCGGAGACCTGGCACCATAACCAAATTGCTCAGCGCTCATTATTATGTCATTTAGGGTTCATGTGTAAGCTTTTCTTATTTCTGGCAGAATTTGTGGCAGACTTCACAGCTGCCACAGCTCAAAAAGTCTGCACCTACTGAATGTTTCCCTGTCCTATGGAAATTTACCAACCACAGGAAGCTCAGTCTGGGGAATTCGTAGGAAAGAGTCCATATTTGGAACCTCTCTTCCTGCCAACCCAAACTAAGAGGGGTGTGGCAACAGAGTGATGACTTTGAGTCAGAAGTCTTGATATTACTCTCCTGTACAACACAGAGTGGAACTCTGGCTGTCCCATCTTCTAAAAAGGCAGAGGTTCTCTATTCAGTTGAGTTTATCTCATCAATACAATCACGAAAGCTGTCACAGCAACAATACCAGAAAGTTTTGTCCATGCCTCCTTCCCTTCTCCTTTTTTTCGACTTCCCTATAGCTCTGGGGTTTCTCGATTGCCTTCCATCCAAATTTCCCTCCAAGCCCGACTTTTAACTTGCTTCAGAAGCCCCCGATCCCACCTTCCTAAAGCAGCTCCCAACGAAAGCCAAAAGTGGGCAAGCATATCGCGCCAGGGATTCCAACGCAGAAGGGTCTAAAGTGCTCCCCCAAGATTGGTTTGCTCACCTACAATCAGCAGGACGTTGCGGAACCTGGTGGGGTCCCCCTTTCTAGCGTTACAGAGCCCCAGAAGGAGGAGCGCCACCACGCACCTCTGTACGGGCGACCGCATGGCAAACTCGCCTCGCCCGGGCCTGCGCCCGGCAGACGATCCCCGAACCGAGCAACCCTCGCATTCACCACAGCTGGGACCTAGGAAGGAGCTAATCACTGCCTGGCTCCGCCTCCGCTTCTACGTAAAGCCCGGATCACGTGAGCCGAGAATTGTCAGGACTCGGCCGCTTGGAATCTGGGGTTAATTTGGGTGTTGGTTACCTGTCGATGAGCCTGAATTGAGGAATTAGACATCGACATGCAGACGGCCTGCGGAAGGGGTCGCTCGGTATCTCTGGAGAGCTGATCAGATGGTGCTTGGTAATATTCCGCAATCATCTTTCATCGCGTCCCAGGACCTACTAATGTAAGTTTTCTCTGTCTTCATGACTAACTCCTTCTTCCCCGCCTAGCCTTGCTCCTCCACTTGGAGCTCTCCTAAATTACTTTTGATCTCCTAATTTTAAGCCGATTGCCCGATTTGAGCGAGCCTTGCCCAGGTTCTCATGCCAGCTCTACGAAGAGGACACAACAACAATGCATCAACAATTGGGTCGCAAATATTTAAATATGCTTAGGTCCATCTCCTGTAGAAGAGGATGTGGCATTATTGTTTCCTGTTAAGGGAGGGACAGTATTATTGTAAGGCAGGATCCTCTGTTTCTATACAAGATGGAGAATCAGTAGTGTTGCCTAATTGCTGTCCTATTCCTTTTCCAGGGATACCTATGAATTTTTGCTGCCAGTTTGTCATCTGCTCTAGCAAAACCATTTGCTATGACAGCTGTTTGCCTGTGACTTTGCCTGATAGTGCTTTGGTCGAGATTGAGATGGTAGATCCCAAGTGAATCGGTCTGAACCACAAAGTGTCCAACCATGTCGGAAAGAAACTGGGAGTGTTGGAAGCAATGTTGCAGAGCAACTGGAAAGAGATTGCCGGTGCTAACTTGGCTTCCCAAGTATTCTCTGCAATGGCTACAGCTGGATCTTATGGCTGGGCTGACTGTGGGGATGACTGTCGTGCCACAAGCTCTTGCTTATGCTGTGGTAGCTGGTCTTCCCGTGCAGGTGAGGTTACACACGCAGCAGTGACTACACTTAAGCTGTATTTGTACAACTACAAAGTACATCTCCGCAGTCAGTATTCCCATTAGCAGACAAACTGGCTTTATTGCAGAAGAAGTGCCTCATCTAATTGGAGAGTGAAGAGGAAAAGGATAGAAACTGAGTTCAAATTCAATTCCTTTTTTTTTTTTTAAAGAACTCTTGGTCTGACAACACCATTTGATATTTGCTTGAGGGAAGGAAAGATTAGACTAGTTTTACTGGATGCCACCAAGGGCTGGTGGCTGGAGGAATGGATGTTTGTGAAAGAGTGGCTATAACAGCCAAACTTTTGTGTTTTAAGCATTAGCCTGGGAACTAACTAATTAGATAGTGTCCTCATTTATTCATACAAGTGTATAGTGTTTCTGTTCTTATTTGGCACTCTTACAGAGAGATAAAGGAAATCCACACATGTTATATCCATATGCTTTTGTTTTCTCACCTATCCTAGCCAAGTGAGAAATTGCAAGTGGGCTGGAACAGGAAGTGAAGTTGCTTTATACAAAATCAAAGTATTATTCTAGATGTGGGCCATGTGCTGCCCATTGGCATCTGCCTGGCTATCCCATATAATTTAAAAAAAAGGGATTACAGGTAATCCTCTATAACAATAGCACTTAGACTTATACACTGCTTTACAATGCTTTATAACCCTCTCTAAACAGGTTTATGACCACAACTGAGCCCAACATTTCTGTTGCTAAGCAAAACATTTATTAAGTGAGTTTTGCCCCATTTTACGACCTTTTTTGCCAGAGTTCTTAAGTGAATCACTGCAGTTGTTAAGTTAGTAACATGGTTGTTAAATGAATCTGGCTTCCTCATTGATGTTGCTTGTCAGAAAGTCACAAAAGTTGATCACATGATCCTAGGATACTGTAACCATCATAAATATGAGTCAGTTGCCTAGCCTCTGAATTTTGATCACGTGATCATGGGGATGCTGCAATGGTCATAAGTGAAAAATGGTCATAAGTCATTTTTTTCAGTGCTATTGTAACTTCAAATGGTCACTAAAAGAACTGTTGTAAGTCAAGGACTACCTGTATTTAAAAATATTAATTGAGAAGCTGGTACGCTACTTCTTTATTTTCTACAATGCCTTTGTGCCCTTGCATATGTACAGTTGTTTCTCTGGAAAGGCAGTGCTTACTCAGGAAGAGAAAGACAAACGTAAGCAATAGAAGTACATTTCTAGGGTCAAGAGCTATAAAAGGAACAACTTCCATAGTTTTCCTTCTGGTAAATGAGTATTTTGTATCTGACCAAGCCAATTGTGGCAGCCATTTTGTGGATGCCCACATTCCATGGGTAGTCATTTTGAGATAATGACTTTTTCTCATGGACAAAGTCCTACATGCATCTGCCAGCTTGAAAAAGATTGCTGTGAAAGACCTGTGAAAGTAATAAATGTGTAGATTTGTCATAAAGTTATTTTTCATTACCCTTTAAATTATGACTGTTTCCTAAATAAGGCAGTTGCTAAATGAAAACTATTTGTATTCCTTTTAAAAATATTTCACCAAATTTTCCATAGGATGCGATTTGTATTTTGTAGGCCTTTCATAACCTTTGTGGTCTTATTGACTTACAGTTCTTCAAGTACTGTGAATAGTCTCTGACGTTGCCTTCCCCTCTCCTTCGCAGTATGGTCTGTATTCTTCCTTCATGGGTTGTTTCATCTACTGCTTTTTGGGGACCTCCAAAGATATAACACTTGGTCCAACGGCCATCATGTCCCTCTTGGTTTCTTCCTACGCATTCCATGATCCCGCCTTGGCCGTTCTCCTTGCCTTTCTTTCAGGTTGCATCCAGTTAGCTATGGGACTTCTCCATCTTGGTAAGAGTTGGTTGCTTTTTATATTGGTCTTCTAAGTCCACTGCCCTGTTGCTATTATTGGCCAAAGAAGATAATTGGGAATCAAATCTGACAAAAAAAGGTAGAAATGAATTTCCCCTGTTTTGGTATCCTAAACTTTCTATAAATTGCAGGGCATTTTTCCAAATATCTGTGAAAAAGTACATCTCACTGAGTTCATTGGGGTATCTGCCAGATAAGTGAGTACAGGATTATAGGCTCATTCAAAGTCTTTTTATTAAGGTGATTTATGAATTATTCTTCACCTTCTGGTAGACTCTGATGCTGTCTGCCTATATTTTTTTGAACTGGATGTCCATGTGTAATTATGAAGAGAGATTCACGTATGCTTCAGTTAAATGCCAGGTGTACTCTATTTAAAGTACTTTGGGATGGCAATGCTTCAGTGAGATGAACATAGTAAAAGAACGACTCCACAGATTATGCAATCAAATCATTTTGTTCTTCCTAATCTAGTTTTGAATTTACAGCTAAATGGACAGGTTTCCTCCTAAAATAGGACTTGATGCATGCAAGAGTCCTTATTTTAAGTAATAGCTGGAAAGAATCTCTCCCTCTCTAGTCCCCAGCTTTATCTAGTTAATTGCCAGGTGGTTTTCTGCTTTAGAAAAGTAAGACTAGAGGTCCTACAAAGGAAAGAGAAGAGGACATGATGGGCAAGTGTCTGAGGAATGGATAAGAAATCCAGCTGGTGTAATTCCCTGGGTGAAATAAAAGACTAAATGATTTTTCCCCATTCCTGGCAGGTTTCATTTTGGACTTTATTTCATATCCTGTTATTAAAGGGTTTACTTCAGCTGCTGCAGTCACCATTGGCTTCAACCAAATTAAGGTAAACTGTCTCTGTCTACCCTTGGCCTTTACATTACAATTTTAGGTGAAGGGGTTTTTGTAGGAATAGGATAGAGGCCAGACCAGCCTTCAGGGGTCTTCAAACTTGACAGCTTTAAGACTTGTGGACTTCAACTCCCAGAATTCCTCCTCTAGTCATGTTAGCTCAGGAATTCTGGGAGTTGAAGTCCACAAGTCTTAAACTTGCCAAGTTTGAAGACCCTTGCTCTATCCTATTATGTGTGAGAGAAAGAGGGTGAAGACAACCCCGCCCTAATAGTTCACAGAGTGTATTGTAGATGCATATAGCAGAGTAGAATTTTGCTCAGTCTAGCAATATTTTGTCTATAGATGTGAAACAATAAAGAAATCAGCTTGGAAGTATTGCCATGTGTCATTCTTGATTTGGGGCCTGACAGTCACCGACCTCTGGTGGTTGGGAAGTTTATAGGAGATCTTAATCATGAGAGAAAAAGGGGGGCTGGTTTTACATTCCAACATTTCTGCAGTTACTTCCTTAAAACTATTGAAAATTGCCCTTAATTTTGCTCTGCTTTCATTTCCTACTTCTTAGTTTCAAAAGCAAAGAGCTTGATTTCTTGAGCTTCCCAAAATTCTTAAATTTATATAATTGTAGAGCTCAACAGTTTCCTTTTACCCACACCCATTTTCTGTAAGCATTGCCGAGGATTGTGTACCATTGAATTCTATGTCTCTTATAACATCAATATTTCCTCTGTGGTTGACCACAGTCTGCTATTTGCAAGAGGCTGAGACGATAGCAATCACAGTTACAGTTCTTTGTGCTTGCGAGTGTGCAAAAAGAAGCCTCAGATCTTTTTGTATACAAGGTTTTGTTTTAGTTCACTAAAAACATTTTCTGGCTTATTACATTAATAAAATATTGGTGGAAGCTATCTAGGCCATCCCTTTAGATTCGTCTTGGAAGTTAGTTACTAGACCCTAATACAATTTTAAGAATATCAAAAACAAAAAACAGGGAATAAAAGAACAAATTAGAACTGTTATAATGTTTTAAAATTTACAGATTGGCTGTTATGACGATGCAATATATATTTAATGCCAAAAGGGTATCAAACATTTTACATGTATAAAAATACCATCTTTGCAATTGCAAGAACTTTAGTATATATGCTAAAACTTAAAATAGTTTGCAATTAAGTGGAAAGTTGTACTAATGTGTTCTTCAGAAGCTAGCTAAGTCTCATGAAATATATTATTCTCTAATACAGTATGAAAGACTATCTTGTTTCAAATGGCTTCTAGATTCATTTCATTCATATAGTATACCCTCCATAATGTGTGTGTGTGTGTGTTTCTGTTTTTACCAACTTGTTTCTTGTGTGTGTTTAATTTTCCATAGACACTCCTGGGTCTGCAACACATTCCAAAGCAGTTTATCCTACAAGTGTATTATACCTTCTGCAGAATTAGTGAAACAAGGTAAAAAAAAGTGTTTATCTCTTTTTTTTTAATTCCTCCTCTTCCTGTTTACAAAAATGGGAAATTAGTGCAAAAATCGTATGCAGAATCAGAATCTGGGAATTGTAAACATTTTTTTAGAGTGCTGCATTTCAAGATCTTTAAACATTCCTAAACCCTGAAATTGGGCAAGCTTAAATATTGCATGGGGAATCTTAGAATGGAGCTAAAAGCTGGAATGCTGACAAGTTTGGGGCATATCCATTTTTTTCATCACACCTTAGGGCCAAATACTTTTTCAATGAACGCAAAGAATAAATGAACTTAAAACTGTAGAAATAGGAAAATGGCCTGACAAATACCCATCTGATCTTTTATGCTTAATTAGGTCATTTTTGAGTGGGTTATGTTTACTTTGAAGTTAATGTTATTGTTCTTACAACAGTTAAACTATATATGCTTACAGGATATATTGTATGAATGAATGAAATCTGGGCTTAGTTTTTTCAAGTTTTTAAATCTCATACTTCGTATTTCCTTTACCTTATTAAAAATCTAATTCACCAGCAGGGAAACGTGTGTTATTTTAATATTTAAAAAATAAATTATCTTGCTGGCTGAATAAAACGATGCATAAATTGGAGAAGGGCCCATGCTTAAAAAGCAAATAGGATGGAGGTCTTTTATCTGTGCAGAGTTTGTGCAATATCATGATTATTTACAGGGCTGGAGATGCCATCCTTGGGGTCTGCTGCCTAATAGCGCTTATGGTCCTTCAACAAATGAAAAAAGGCATCCCCAGGACCCATCCGATGGAAACCTTGCCTGTCAGAATCAGTCGATATATAATTTGGACAACAGCTACAGGTTTGTCTGTCATGTCCTCTAAGCAAACGTTCAATTTCCTTCTTCTTGGAAGTATTTTTATAAGGTTATGTCATGATTATGGAATCCATGCCTATCATTTGACTTTATTTAAGACTCTCTTCCTTACAGCCCGTAATGCTCTTGTGGTTCTCTTTGCTGGTCTTGTGGCTTATTCTTTCCAAGTGACTGGCTCCCAGCCTTTCAGCCTCACAGGATCCATTCCCCAGGGACTCCCTCTGTTCCAGCCACCACCATTCTCCATCATCACACCCAATCAGACTATTGATTTTAAGGAAATGGTGCAGGTGTGTATTTCTTTTTTTATTGGTTCAATTTCCGCCTCTCTGTTTATGTCAGCTCTTCTAGATAGATCAGACTAAAAAAACCAGTGCTATGTAGTTCAGGATTACTTTTATTGTAACAGAATTGTCAGCGTTCCAAGTAACAACCTCCAAAGAAAAAGACTCCGAGAATATCATCTTCCCAAAGATCCATTTTTATTAGAGATATCATATTGGCACATCTGGGGAAAACTCGAATCTGAGAGTTTCCCTAACCCAAAGAAAACCCAAAATCCAACCCCTGCACCCAATCGTCCATCACATTGTTCCCTCTTCTTGATCAAAATTGCAGTGAAATACAGCTCCCGTCTTCCATCCCTGCAGGCCATTGGACCTGGCTTAGCGGTGGTGCCTCTCATGGGACTGCTGGAGACGGTTGCTATTGCCAAAGCATTTGGTAAGATCATTTTCTTGTTTGTGGAGGGAGGGGGGGGGGGAGGAAAGAAGGACTATATACTTCCCTGCACAGCTGACACCTGAAATGAATTTTTATTTCTATTTGAAGTAGTGGCCTCTGATCACAAATCACAGTAAGCTATAGTCTGTTTCACAGTGGATTACTGAATAAATCACATTAGCTGGAAATGGGATATTGTTGACTGGGACCTACTCAGAGTTGGTTGTAAGATGGATGGCTATAGAAATGTTTTAAATAATTTAAATTAATTAATTAATATGCACAATGCATGAAATGTACCAAAATCACAGGTGTGTGTTGAAACTATAGTTAAGAGCAGAAATGGCGGATCTGTGGCTCTCCTTATGTTGGGGAATGATAGCTTCCAACCCCAGCTAGAATAGTCTGAGATGACATAGCTTGGACATGTCAGCAATATCAGAAGGAAACAGACAAAATATGACCCTTGGACTAAAATATGAAAAATTTCTTAGACTAATAGTAATTCAGCGTAAGAGGTAGCTATTTTCTTATCTCTACCTGCTTTGAAGGGATAGAAAGTCACCTCTGTCAGTGGAAGGATTAGGTAAAGAAACAGAAATCTGTTACCTGAAATTTCGAAGTCCATAACTAGCTTGGTTAGGATGATGGGTAGTTACAGTATATCAGTTATACTGCTTTAGGGAAGTATCATTTTCTAGAATTGTCAGCTCCGTGTTACGGTGTTTCTATTAGCTTCACTTATGCCTGCCTATAGTAGCTTGCAAACTTCTTTTCTGTGGAAAATGCTGTGATAAATTAGTCTTGGTCAATTCTGTATGTAATGATGCCTCTTTTTTTTCTTTTCTTATTAGCCTCCCAAAATAACTACCAGATTGATACCAACCAAGAGCTGCTAGCTATGGGTAAAGATTTTACATAAATGGGCTTGGTTGCATTTTGACTGAGGAGAACCTAAGCCAAGTGAAGTAATTGGGGGTGGGTGATTCTGGGAACTGCAATTGTCAGGTGCAGTTATTCCAATTAGTGGGTAGCAGAAAGTATCTTTGGAACAGGCTTCATTGGAGAAATCTCATTCTCATCACTTGCAGCTTTAGAATTTTGGGTTCACAGAGTCAGAAGGCATGTTGCTCAATGTAGGAAATCCTGAGGACTTGGGGAGAGTGATCCTCAGGCCTCTTAAGAGTCTAGGAGAGAAGACAACAAGTCTTGTAATCTCACTGATTCTGTTCCTGCCTTTCTTCCTGGATACTCTCTAGGGTTTACCAACCTCCTGGGATCCTTTGTCTCATCCTATCCAGTCACAGGTAGTTTTGCCCGGTGAGGAAAACACTTTCTTTTTCTCTCTCTTAATCTCTCTCTCTTTTTTGGTAAATGCAGGCTACTCACATAGCTTAATTAGGTAATTTGAAATAGTACTCTTCATGCATCGCTTGTCATGGATTCATTACCTCTTAAAAACTTTTAAACCTAATGAAAAAAGTTTTTCATAATATTTATGGAGGGAAGGTAGTTCATGTCCATTGCATGATAATGCACGCAGAGCTTCAGACAGGTTGCATTTTATTATAAAGTTATTTTTCCCTATTATTCAGATAGGCATAGCCATACAAAGAACCCAGCTGAAATTGGATATACATTTTCATGTTCAAAAATGGCTGTGAGTTAATTAATAACGTTAGAAAAAGGTGATGCTTGAGGCCAATTTGGGAAGCGTCCTTGATCTTTTTTTTTTTTTATAGGAACAAGGGGAAGGATGATTTCCTCCAGAAAAAAACATCTTGTCTTGGAGGTGCCCTTTGGATTGAAAACATTTTTTCCCATAGCTACTCACAGTCTGGGGCTGTGATCTTACACTCTTGGGCTGATATGAAGGAGAAATGTGGTTGTGGACACAGCAAAATGAAAGCCACATCTTCATTAGAATCTCTTCGTTTTTAATTTTTGAATAATTTGATTTTTTCTTTAGCCTCTGCCATTTGATCAAGTCTTAAATCGTAACTTGCAAACTGATAATTGAAGAGAAAAATAAGGGAAGCATAGCCAGCCTTGTGGAAAGGGCAGTAGGTTGCATGTATGCACGTCTGATATTTCTAGGCTTAAAATAAACTTAATCCTTTCACTTATAATGGCTTTGTTCACACTGCAGGACAGCAGTGAATGCTCAGACTGGTGTATGTACTCCTGCTGGAGGACTAATCACAGGTAGGAAAAAGAATAATGCCATTGTTGGAGGAGAATAAATTGGAAGCAGAAGGTTATAAATGACAAATGTGCCAAGACAAATGTCACTTGTATAGTTCTCCTTCTTTCACTAAACCTGCCCAAAGAGGCCCTGAAGACATGTAAATACTGCAGCTAAAATGCATCAAATGTTATGTCTATGGAGATTCTCCATCATCCAGGTCATGGTTGTCCCAATGGTGCTTTTTCAAGAGGCAACTGGACTTTCTGGGTTTTTCTTTGAAGATGTTTCACTTCTCATCCAACAAGCTTCTTCAGAGCTGAAGAAGCTTCTTGGATGAGAAGCGAAATGTCTTCAAAGAAAAACCCAGAAAGTCCAGTTGCCTCTTGAAAAAGCACCTTTGGGACATCAAATGTTATGTACAAACAGAGATCCTTGAAACACAACAAGGAAACATCTTAAAGTTCATCATAAATGAACTTTTACATGATATTCTAATTTTCCAAATGAGATGCAAAAGTTGCTCTCATCAGAAAAGAGGACTTTGGATCACAGCAACAGACCAGTTCTGTTTTTCTTTAGCCCAGGTAAGACGCTTCTGATGTTGTTTGTTGTTCAGGGGTGGCTTGACAAGAGGAATACGACATTTGAAGCCCATGTCCAGGATCTGTCTGTGTGTGGTGGCTCTTGATGCACTGACTCCAGCCTCAGTCCACTCCTTGTGAAAGTCCCCAACACTTTTGAACGGCCTTTTCCTGACAATCCTCTCCAGGCTGCAGTCATCCCTGCTGCTTGTGCACCTTTTTCTTCCACACTTTTCCCTTCCACATAACTTTATATTAATGTGCTTTGATACAGCACTTTGGGAACATCCAACTTCATTTGCAATTACCTTTTGAGGCTTTCCCTCCTTATGGAGGGTGTCAATGATGGTTTTCTGCACAACTGTCAGGTCAGCAGTCTTTCCCATGATTGTGATTCCTATTGAACCAGACTGAGAGACCATTTAAAGGCTCAGGAACCCTTTGCAGGTGTTATGGCTTAATTAGCTGATGAGAGTGGGACCCTTTGAGCCTAGAATATTGAACCTGTTCACAATATTCTAATTTTCTGAGATTGTGGATTTGGGGTTTTCATGAGCTGTAAGCCATAATCATTTCAATTATGACAAATCACGGCTTGAACTATCTTGCTTTGCATGTAATGAGTCTATCTCATATATTAGGTTCACCTTTTAACTTGCATTACTGAAATAAATGAACTTTTGCACGATATTCTAATTTTTCAAGTTTCATCTGTATATTCATTATGGCAAAATTTTCCTGGTTCATAGTCTGCTTCATGATGCCTGGAGGAAAAAGGACACACACACATGCACTCACTACTACTACTTCTTGTGCCATAGCTGTCATTGGATGTTGGCGATCATGTTGGCGATCCTGTTTTTATCTCTCACACACGGTTGCAAATGAGTGGATAATAATATGACACAAGAAGAAATTGAAGTACAAGTAATTGCAGTGATAGTTACTCATTTATGCTGGACATTCCTAACATGTTCACACTGTTGTTGGGACTTGGTAGATAGAGTATTGCATTGGTGAGCCCATGAACACATGTAGCTATTTTAGTTTATGGAACATAATGTTAACTCTCCTAATAAGCTTCAAGCATTGGGAATTCACTGATTAAATTTATATGCCACCAAATGTTTCAAGATTCCCAGCAGAATAGAAAGCACACAGTCAGAATTCAAACACCTGCGTAAGCCCCAAAGTAACCCAACTCATTCACCCAAATCAGCAACAGCAGGCAAACTAAATTAAATAAATCAAGATTGTTAATGTGGCACTGATGATCATTTCCAAAGTCCCTCTAGAATACTATGTTTTTTCACCAGTTTCTGGATGTCTCTCCCAAATTCACTTCTGATTCTTAGTTGTTTTATCACTTCAGTTCATGGAAGACCTCTGGCATAGTAACGCATCCAACCCTGCTCTGCCACCCAACTTAGTTGGAGCTTATTGTAAACTAGCATTTTGTCTCATAATACAGATGTCTCTCTTTTTTTTTTACAGGGGCCTTGGTACTCTTATCTCTAGCCTACCTTACGTCCCTGTTTTACTACATTCCCAAGGCAGCACTGGCAGCAGTCATCATCTGTGCTGTGGCTCCAATGTTCGATGCCAGGATCTTCCGCACATTGTGGCAGGTTAAAAGTATGAGCATGGATCTCTTGTCCTTCCTAAAGATGGTCAGTTAGAAAACGTTTAATACTTCCCTATAGACACTGAAGATGGTTAGAATTCAAACCTGGAGGATATGGGCGATTTGGGAAAAGTAGTGGGAGAAGCAGAATGGAAAGTTCCTTCTTCTCTGTAGCTCTTCTTAGTGCTGTCTTGGTATTGACTTTCTGAAATTGGATTAATCCACTATTTCTTTGTTAAGAAAGAAGGACTTAGGACTCTGGCAAAGTCAAGATGATTTTCATTGTTAGATAGACTCTTAAACATTTAGGATGCAGGCTGAGGCTATTGGAACCGCATCTTGGAAACCCTCTGAGCCCAGTCTTTCTAAGAACACATATTGGATGGGGGTAAAGGATCTGATGGGCCATAAGACCTTACAGCTTTGTATTATAGCCAGTGACCTACAGTATTTAAGTTAGATCTAGAACTGGTTTAAAGGGACTGGCTAAGACACTGAGCTTGTCGATCAGAAAGGTTGGTAGTTCGAATCCCTAGCACCGCATAGCGGAGTGAGCTCCCATGACTTGTCCCAGCTTCTGTCAACCTAGCAGTTCGAACGCATGTAGAAAAATAGGAAACACTTTGGTGGGAAGGTAACAGCGTTCCTTGCGCCTTCGGCATTTAGTCATGCCAGCCGCATGACCATGGAGACGTCTTCGGACAGCGCTGGCTCTTCAGCTTTGTAATGGAGATGAGCACCGCTCCCTAGAGCTGGAAACAACTAGCACGTATATGCAAAGGGAACCTTTACCTAGAACTGGTTTGAATTGTAAACTTCTTGTTTGTCCTGGTGCAAGCGACAGCACACTGTTTCTTAAAAATGATCACTTTTGCTGATGAGATGGACTTGATTGAATTCTCTGTTCTTTCTTCACAGGGCTAGACCTGGTGCCTCTTTGTGTTACATTCTTTGTTTGTTTTTGGGAAATGCAATATGGCATCATAGCGGGGGTGATGGTTTCTGGAATCCTCCTGCTCTACCCCCTCGCCAGGCCTCAGATAAAGGTCAGTTTTTAATACACTGAGTCAGGCAGAGTTTGGAGAAGACTATTTCCTTGAGTCAGAAAACAATACATGGTAGCCATACGTAGCTGATCGTAGAATATATTTTGTTTTGCTTCCGTCTGCTGTGATTGATTGGGATGTACTTAGGGAGAAACAGGTCACGATTGACTTAGGCAGTGCTAGATAATGATATCAGCATTTATATATAACATAGGACATTTGTATCTCTTTATTCCTTCCAATTTTCAATTCGACTGAGATGTTGTATAACTAAGAGATACTGTTTAACAACTGAGACAATAAATGGTTTCATAAGTACATCAAGAAGCATTGTGATGACTCAAATTACATAGGTCTCCTTGGATTCCTTCCCACAATACTTTCTTCCACCTTTTTCTCCAGGTTGTGAGGGACACGGCAATAGTCATAAAGCCTGAGAATGGCCTTCAATTCCCTGCAATTGATTTCCTCCGGGATACTGTACACAAGCAAGCTCTATCAGGTAAATTGTGTAAATTCCTGAAATGAGACTTCAGTATATCTCATCTAAAAGAGTTAATATTCCTCCTCTTGGGTGCCTCTGGAAACATAATTGCTCCATGCAGTTACGTCCATGTCTTTCAACAGAGAATAAATAAGGTTTCAAGAATGTTTCAGTATTTCGGTATGCCTTTTGAGGAAATGTCCACGATACATATATATTAGGACCAAATGAGAAGGGTTTCCAGTTAACAATTCTTGTGCTGAACAGATGGAAATTCAGAATAGGTATTCAAGCAAACATACAAAGTAGAATAAAGATTTTAGTCTTAACAAAATGAACCATGTTGGTGAGATAAGCCCATAACTTGGCCAGATTCTCTTGCTAGTATAGCTTGCCAGCTCTTTGACTGATCTGTTTCTTGTGTTCTTGTTTTCTGACTTCTTTGAAGGACAGAGTGATGTGTTTGTGGTGGTGGTGCCGGGCAATGTGAGAAGGCTCATCTGCCTCACATTTACCTAGAGATGGAAGAAGCCTGAGAAAGAAGGTTGCAGCAGCTTATTCCTGTCTCTTTCAATGGTCTTCCTAAATCTCCAAGTGCTAGAAAAAGTAGGATATGTAGCCTGCGAGGAATGCTGTGGGGGGATGTCCTGTCCCCCATCTTGTGCCTTCTATGAAACAGACTTGTCTTCTCCCCAAACTGTACTCTCAAAAGCCTTGGATCTCCCACAGGTTGTAGCCAGTCAGTTCAACCAAGTATGCTGCAGTTAAGGTGTATTGTAATTCCAAAGTGCCAGGAAAGGAGAGGAAAGCCATAATATACGTGATGGCAGCCTGATTCAGGAACTGCTATAGCTCCCCCAACTATCAACTGACTACCAAAAGAGAAAACTCAGAATGAATTTGAGTTTTCTTCTCCCTCTTTTTCTATTTAGGGACCAGCCCACTCTTTCTTTTGCAATTTTGTTTTATTATTTTTTCCGGAAACACACCGAATTTTGATGACGATAGATCAGGACCTCATGGTGATTTACAGAAGATCATCTTGGTTTGTAAACTGTGTATAGTGTCCTGTTTGTGTATGAAGGTTATTGTGATTAGCTCTTGAGTTTCAATAGCTAATTGCTTTCGTCCCTTGGCACCTGGTTCACTCAAAGTTCTCAAAAACACAACACAACCCACACAAAGCACAAAGACTGATGTTTCTACAATAATATACAGGGTTCTTAGTCTTTTCTTCTTTCCATTTCTTTTTTCTTGGAACTGCAATGTGAGTAGATTAGGCTAAAATGTGTGGTCTGCTCTGTATCAGTGATGGCTGTGGAGGGAGTTGAATTTGTGTCTCTATACAAATTCAAATTGTAAATTCCCAGTTTCATGCATGGTTTCAAGAATCGAATTTCAACTTTCTGGCTTGCTAATCAGCATGAATTGGTGGTATGAATCCTGAGAGTTGGAATCTAACACATTGTGGAGGCAAAGCTGAGCCTATGTGATTTTTATAATTTAGTCCATATTGGTCATCTTACATTTCTATATATTTATTGACATTAGTTTAATAAACTATATTGTCTGAGCCTCTGAATGTATTTTTTGTCTTTTAATTTCCAATCTTAATTGTTACAACTTCCTTCTATGGCAGATCAAGCTTATATTGGGAAAACTGCTAAAGACAGCTAATTTTATGTTAAATAATCAAAGCAGGATGATTTGAATTTTGAAAAGGTTCTTTAATTTACATTAAAAATTACAAAACTTCCCAAAGTTATGAATCTAAAAGATTTATAAAATGTTCATCCATTGTTTTATTTTTTCAAATCTGGACCAAAATATCGATCTGTTAATGCAGCTAGGAGTTGGGCTGCATAAGGCCTTCATTCAGCCACATAATATTGTCTTCCTTCAGAGTCTCATCAATGCAATGTCATCCTGGACTGCAGCCACATCAGCAGCATTGACTATACTGTGGTATTGGGTCTGTCGGAACTTCTGCAGGAATTTCAGCTCCGGGAACTTTGCTTGGTCTTCATTGGCTTGAAGGTGGAAGTTTGTCCGGGAGTTGCGGGGTGGGAGCATATGTAAATTGTGGCTGGGTAATTTAATCTTAATGAGTCTTAGAGGCCTAACAATTTTATTTTTGTAAAAAGAAAATATTGTTTAGTGACAGAGTATATACTTTTCATGTAGAAGGTTTAAATCCTTGAGAATAAGGAGCATGAATACAGTAGTCCTTGACTTACAACCACAATTGAGCCTCAGATTTCTGTTGTTAAACAAGGTATCTGCTAAGTGAGTTTTGCCCCATTTTACAATCTTTCTTGCCACAGTTCAGTGAATCGTTGTAGTTATCAAGTTATTAACATGGTTGTTAAGTGAGTCTAGCTTCCCCCTAGTCTTTATTTATTTGTTTGTTTATTTAATTTATATTGCCACCTATTCGCCCATGGTGACACTCAAGGCGGCTTACACAATGTAAAACCATATTTAAAATAAAAAATAAAAATAAAAAACAATAAAAACTTAACAAAAAGAATCAAATAAATTAGTAAAGTACAATAGAACAAAATCTGGAAAAAATTTTAAAATAAATCACCCCCCAACTCCCATCCCCCCGCCCCGACGACAGCAGATGACAGTAGCCATTTGATGGGCTCCATCCTGCCCTGGGTTCCCCAGGCCCGCTGGCAAAACCAGGTCTTCAGTGCCTTTCAGAAGAGTGATAGAGTGGGGGCCATTCTAATCTCTGGAGGAATGATATTCCAGAGAGAGGAATAAGCTCTTTTGCTTGTCAAAAGGTTACAAAAGGTGATCACATGACCCCAGGACACTGCAACTGTCATAAATACCAGTCAGTTGCCAAGCATCTGAAGTTTGATCATGTGAGCACGGAGATGCTGTAATGGTCATAAGTGTGAAAAATGGTCATAACTCCCTTTTTCAGTGCTGTTGTAACTTCAAACAGTCACTAAATGAACTGTTGTAAGTCAAGGACTGCCTGTATAACAAACATGGCTCTTGAAGAAATGCTCTCAATCAGCATCCCCTTTAGCTTTTACCTGCTGGCTAGGAATATTGACATGTGCAACCCTAATGTATCTACACAGCCGGATGGTGGGAATAGTTCTAGTGTTGTTTCCTGTATACTCTGATATGGACTAGCCACATATATTCATAAACAGACCAACAATGCAAAGTTTCTGAAATACAAAATTCTCAGTGTTTCTCTAGAATATAGTCTGCACGTTCAAGTTATATGGGCTGTCTTACACTGTGTCAGCCCGTTGAGTTACCTAGCACTGTATTCTTTCCTTTGACCCAGAAATTTGTCTAATCCTATCTTTTAGCCAGAGAAACAAGGAGTGCAACTTAAACATTTAGATAAGTAAGGGATCTGTTCTGCCCTTGAACCCACGCTTCCTCCCTCCCTCTTTGAAAAGCTCTTATGAAAAAAAATAACTGATTAATTTTCTATTTTATTTTTTTTAAACAAATTTTATTAATTTTAAAGACAAACAAATCATCATTAACCATTACATACTTGAACCTTTTTCCATTATAAATTTTATAAGTCAAATAAAACCTTATTTTATACAATATAATTCTATTTTAAACC